TTTTGTTTTACCTCATCGACTTGGTGCTGTTGAATATTTGCAGTTCTTAAATGAGCATCTACCACCACTTCTGGAGGAAGTACCATTAAATGTACGTCAGGCCATGTGGTACATGCATGACGGGGCTCCTGCTCACAGCACTGTAGTAGTTAGGCGGTGGCTTAATTTAAATTACCCGAATCGTTGGATAGGTCGCGGCAATGAGGCACCTATCTCTTGGCCTGCACGTTCTCCCGATCTAACGCCCATGGATTTTTTCTTTTGGGGACATAAAAAGTATTGTTTATGCGAGCCCAGTTGACAGTGTTGAAGAGCTACAGGAAAAAATATTCGCGGCGGCTGATGAGATTTGCAACAATCCCATAATTTTTGCTCGAGTCCGTAACAACTTTGATAAACGTGTTAGGTTGTGTTTAGAAAGAAATGGCAATTATTTTGAAAATGTCCTTTAACTAAGTTTTTTTGTTTTTTCTCTTTTTGATAATAAATTATTTCATAGTTTCGTTTTCATTGTGCTTCTATTTAATAAAAGTTTCTGAGACATTCAAACAGTTATTTGTGCAACTACTTGCATGAAGTTTGCAGCTCGAGACGAAGTTGAGAGCTGCAATCATGTTAAGTGTAACAAATATGCGTTTGCACATGGTGCAAGCAACATTTTTTCTGCGAATGTTTTTATTTCAAATTTTATTTAACAGTATTTTACATAATATTAAAATTTTAACTGACAACTGGAAATTAATTGCGCAAATTGTCAATGTCAGACGTTAGGTATTTATGGATATGCTTAGATTAAACTGGTAATCAATATTTTTTTTGTACTACTGTAAAAAAAGTTAAACTTTTGGCACAGTAGGTAGTGCAATAAGTAGTAAATTTTGCACGATCGTAGAAAAAAANCGAGTAGAATACTTTTAAAATTCGTTGGCGGGCCGCATAAACATCGACAGCGTGCCGCATGCGGCCCGCGGGCCGCTGTATGTGCATCCCTGGGCTACAAGGAATAAGACGTAGGCGAGGCAATTTGGGAGAGTGGCTACCTGCAGCCTTATCTAGTGTGCATTTGTGAGCGGAGCTGTCCGAGACGCAAACTTATTTGAGTTGGCCTGTATGGTTATATAATAAATCTTTAGATCAAAGAGAGTTCTTATGAACTTTAAGTAACTTGTTGAGAAACAGATACAGTATAATAACCAAATGATTTCTCTTCCAATAAATCGACCGAATTGACCTTACCGAATTTATATACAGGGTGTTACCTCCCGTAAATTCAGGGGGTAATAGTCCAACAAAAAATAAGAATTTTTTGTCTTATGAACTATACAGGGTGTTACGAAATTCGTGGACACGGACTCTGGGATCATGTTAAGTTAGATAAGGTCATACAAAAATGTCTCTATCATTTTTCAATCAGACCGATATTTTTCGAGATACGGCAGTTTTAGATATCTAAAATAATAAAAATTTTCAATTTTTAATCATTTGATAAACAATTATGACAAACGAATTGTTCAAAATTTCCATCAACTGCTGCTAAACATGCTTCAGCACATATTGTGCTAGAGCTCTGGCGTTATTTGTTGTATTGTTTGAAACAGACAGCTTTATAACAATTAATGACAATTCAGAAAGCATTTATCAATACTTTGACATCGTTAGAGTACAGTAAAAGTACCTACCTGTCAATACAAACTGCAAAATAATAGGCCACAATTATTCAAATCGTGAAAATCGTATGATATGCTGATGGCTCTTGGAGCTTCAAATAATCGTACAGGTGAAGCAGTGCGGTTGGCTTGGCAGAGGCGGTCCATTTGATTGGCCATCTCGTTCTGCAGACCTAGCACCATGTGATTTTTTATTTTGGGGTTTCTTAAAAACGTTGGTGTACAGAACACCAGTGGCAAATTTGAATGAATTGCAGAACCGCCTATTTCAATCAATACAGCAAATAACACCAGAAGTGATACGCAACTCCATTAGAGCAGTAGCACAATGTGCTTAAGTCTGGTTAACAGCAGACGGTGGAAATTTTGAACAATTGTTGTAACTCATCTGTCGTAATTGTTTATCTAATGCATATATATTTTTATTATTTTTGGATATTTGATACTTCTATATCTCGAAAAATACTGGTCTGATTGAAAAATCATAGAGACACTTTTTTATTACCTTATCTAGCTTAATATGATGCCACAGTCCGTGTCCGCGAATTTTGTAACACCCTGTATGTCTATCTCCTCTTATTTTCGAGATACAGTCGACAAAATAAAATTTTTAAAATAGAATTGTTACGAAAATCTCCAAACGGTGCGAAATATTTTTATGAAATTTGGTATTCCGGGGGTTTTTAAGGATGCCAAATACGTTGGTATAATTATTTTTTGGATATTTCATAGAGGGCGCTAGTTATGCTACATTTCTATTACCTTTTAAGTTCTAATTTTTTTAAGGTTAGGTTTTTTACCAGTCGGGCTCCAATTTTTTATGTACAATTTTATTTTCTAAAAATAATGTACTCTTGTTAGAATTTCCTAATTTGGACGGTTTTCGAGAAAAAAGGCTTTTAATTGAACTCTTACAATATTACGGTGTAGAAAAGAAGTGACTTTTCTCAAAATAGGCTTATGTCAAAACTTATTGATGGGTGTCTCATAAACAACGCAAACATTCTGTACAGACTGTAGTTAGTAATGACTAATTATAGTCTCTAAAATTTTGATAAAAAATTTAAAATATTAATGAAGTTCTAACAAGAGTATATTATTTTTAGAAAATAAAATTGTGCATTAGAAATTGGAGCCCGAAAAACTTAACCTCAAAAAAGTTAGAACTTAAAATGTAATACGAATGTAGCATAACTAGCGCCTCTATAAAATATACAAAAAATAATTAGACCACCGTATTTGGCGTCCTTAAAAACCCCGGAATACCAAATTTCATAAAAATATTTCGCACCGTTTGTAAATTTTCTTAAAAATTCTATTTAAAAAAATTTAATATGTCGCTCTGTATCTCGAAAACAAGAGGAGATAAACAAATACATAGTTCATAAGACGAAAAGTTTTATTTTTTGTCGTACCATCACCCCGTGAATTTACGGGAGGCCTTTCTGAAACACCTTGTAATCTCAATAAGGGTAAATACGTTGGAGCATTATTTTTTATCTATCGAAGGCATTTGAATCTCTAAATCTTAATTTTTTGTCAACAACATTGAGAGCGGGATAATTTCTTGGAATGGTTAATATCTCACCTCTAATATAGAAAAATGTGTGTTAAATTAAATAATAATCAACTATTCAAGACACTGGCCTAGCAGTTCCACAGGGCTCAATACTTGGCCCTCTCATTTTTCTAATTTCTATGAATGATTCGCCCTCAAACCTTAATATTGAATGTACTGTATTATATGCATGTCATTCTTGCAGCATATGAAAATAGTCCTGCATAAATTCTCTAAAACATACTAATTGTAAATGCGGAAGAAACTATATGCATGCAATTTTAATTGATGTACCTCTTGAAGTTATTGTAAAAATTAAAATATAGAGGAATCAGAACCAAGTAAGTTTCTGGGAACATTTATCAACTGTGATATGTGCTGGAAAAGTCCAATTAATATAATATATAGAAAAAATAATAATTTACGGTTACTACACACCATCGCAACTTAGAGCAATGTTTGGTCCTCCTCAGCTTCTTAACATATATTACTCTATAGTTTATTGTCATTTATGTTATTACGTCTAGTCTAGGATAATGTTAATATTCATAGTATCTACAGAATTTTAATCTCCCAAAAAATAGTAATTCGTTTAATTTTTGGTAATTCCCAAGGTGAATCCATATGACATATGTCTTATAGGTTATGTCCCATCAATACTTAGAAAATTCAACTTGCTACTTGCTGGTGTTTATGCTGCTAAAAGATGACTCTATATTTAGAAGAAAATAAAGAAAAATGCCTTTTGTACAGAATTTTAACTTAAACTTTAAAAATTAATTTTTCACATTTAAATCTAGAAATAAAGATAATAATTAATACAAACCTTTTCAAGTTCATCTTTTACTTGTACTTACTCTACTGCATTCAAATAAAGTGAGATATGTTTTATGGAGAAGAAAGGTATAAAACTCTTAATGGCCTTTGGAGTCCTTTGATCTTCAACTAAGATGCATTTACATTTTTCCCACTTATTTATTTACGCCCTACATAATTGAATAAGAATATGGTGCTCTGTAATGAATTTGAATTAGCAATTTATTTAAATTGTGTGTGTATATTCTCTTCCCACAGTTATCATAGTTCTTCATAAAGCAGTGATTTAGATGATTAGAAAATAACAAAATTGAAATTAGCAATACCAGATGAGTTGACGATATCTTCCTTTGATCAAGATCTCAATCAGCTTCAATAATTTCCACTGTTATACTCACTTTGACTATAGCTCTACCTGAATCCGATTTTTATTTCTAAGAAATTTCAAACATTTATTTTCAATGAATTTGTCATTTTACAGTTAGAGTGCTGTGGTTTGGATGGTCCTGCATACTGGTTGTTGAACAGGCCACTTAGTTGTTACGACGCGAGCAGCAACAAGGTGTTTGAGGATGGTTGTATCAAACAGTTCTTCAACTTCTTGAACAGATCCATACGAGTTATTGGCATAACTGTTTTAACACTATCTACAATAGAGGTATTTTGTTTTTTTTTATTCTAGGCCATGTACCTTTGCTTTATTCTAAAGACATTAAGCTCATGAAGGCTTTAATACGAAAAACCTAGGTATGTAAATCACATCTAATTTCATAGGCAAAATCCTTAGCTGATGATGCAGCGGGAAACAACTGCTCTTTATCAAAGGTGATGTAAGGTGTTGTTTACTAATACAGATGCGAGTTTTCAACTATTTTTGGAAAATTTTAACCCCTCGAAAGGGGTTGAAATAACCACCCCTAAAGCCATTTTTGCCATAACTTTTATATTTCGTAAAAACTCGATATCCAAAAATACGCATTAGATAAACTGGTTCTTTTAGAAACTTTTACCTCTCTAGCAATTTTCCTTTAAAACTTTTCGTTTATTAATAAAAAAATAAAATGTATTACCATTCACCTCACACCGTATATGATTGCAATCAATCAAAGAAAAACTAAGTGTGCTGCTGTCATGCCAGTTGTCACAATTAACTCTTCTGTAAGTTGTCACTGTTATCAGCTAAATACTTTTTGGGTGTAAATTAACAAGAATTATGCCAAATTTTACTAATGATGAATATGTGGACATGCTACAAGTGTATTTTGAATGTCGCAAAAACTGTGCTGCGGCAACAAGAGCGTATAATGAGAGATATCCAAATCGTCAAGTTCCCCACAGACAAACTTTTTCGGCGGTAGAACGAAGACTTCGGGAAACTGGAAAAATACAGCCGCATATTGAGGGTACCGGCCGAAGACCTACTGTTCGTACTATTTATCTTGAGGATGCAGTACTTGAAGAGTTTGACGAAAATCGTCAGACTAGTACGAGAAAAACAGCAATGCACTTAAATGTGTCCCATAGTGTTGTTTGGAATATTGTCCATGATAATTTATTATATCCTTTTCACCACCGGCCAGTTCAAGCTCTACTTGAACCAGACATGCATAAGCGAGTTGTTTTTTGCGAATCGTATCTTAATATTCTAAGAAATAATTTGAATTTTGCCTCAAAGATACTTTTCACAGATGAAGCAACTTTTCAAAGACATGGTTTAACCAATATGCACAATCTTCATTCCTGGGCTCATGAAAATCCTCACGAAGTATCTATGACAACATTTCAACATAATTTTAGTTTAAACATTTGGGCAGGAATTGTAGAAAATGTGCTTGTCGGCCCTTTTGTTTTACCTCATCGACTTGGTGCTGTTGAATATTTGCAGTTCTTAAATGAGCATCTACCACCACTTCTGGAGGAAGTACCATTAAATGTACGTCAGGCCATGTGGTACATGCATGACGGGGCTCCTGCTCACAGCACTGTAGTAGTTAGGCGGTGGCTTAATTTAAATTACCCGAATCGTTGGATAGGTCGCGGCAATGAGGCACCTATCTCTTGGCCTGCACGTTCTCCCGATCTAACGCCCATGGATTTTTTCTTTTGGGGACATATAAAAAGTATTGTTTATGCGACCCCAGTTGACAGTGTTGAAGAGCTACAGGAAAGAATATTCGCGGCGGCTGATGAGATTCGCAACAATCCCATAATTTTTGCTCGAGTCCGTAACAACTTTGATAAACGTGTTAGGTTGTGTTTAGAAAGAAATGGCAATTATTTTGAAAATGTCCTTTAACTAAGTTTTTTGTTTTTTCTCTTTTTGATAATAAATTATTTCTTAGTTTCGTTTTCATTGTACTTCTATTTAATAAAAGTTTCTGCGACATTCAAACAGTTATTTGTGCAACTACTGTAAAGAGTGTGTATTTGTTGTACGATGCATGAAGTTTGCAGCTCGAGACGAAGTTGAGAGCTGCAATCATGTTAAGTGCAACAAATATGCTTTTTGCACATGTTGCACGCAACATTTTTTCTACGATTGTTTTTATTTCAAATTTTATTTAACAGTATTTTACATAATATTAAAATTTTAACTGACAACTGGAAATTAATTGCGCAAATTGTCAATGTCAGACGTTAGGTACTTATGGATATGCTTAGATTAAACTTGTAATCAATATTTTTTTTGTACTACTGTAAAAAAAGTTAAACTTTTGGCACAGTAGGTAGTGCAATAAGTAGTAAATTTTGCACGATCGTAGAAAAAAACACTTGTAGCATGTCCACATATTCATCATTAGTAAAATTTGGCATAATTCTTGTTAATTTACACCCAAAAAGTATTTAGCTGATAACAGTGACAACTTACAGAAGAGTTAATTGTGACAACTGGCATGACAGCAGCACACTTAGTTTTTCTTTGATTGATTGCAATCATATACGGTGTGAGGTGAATGGTAATACATTTTATTTTTTTATTAATAAACGAAAAGTTTTAAAGGAAAATTGCTAGAGAGGTAAAAGTTTCTAAAAGAACCAGTTTATCTAATGCGTATTTTTGGATATCGAGTTTTTACGAAATATAAAAGTTATGGCAAAAAATGGCTTGAGGGGTGGTTATTTCAACCCCTTTGGAGGGGTTAAAATTTTCGAAAAATAGTTGAAAACTCGCATCTGTATTAGTAAATAACCTGTAAAAAATTTGTTATTTGTACATCGTTCGGTTTTCAAATTACAGCCAATTTTCATAATTTTTTTGGAAACTTTGATGGCCCATATCTCTTCAGGGGTGAACATTTTACTAAGGCGAATTTTTGCAGATCGTGTTCTTTTGAAATGTAGATTCACTGGTATCATTTATGCTACTCCATTCAAAAACACCCTGTATATGACTTCAATATGTCAGGTATATGTTTTTCAGTTAATAACTGGATATGCCATTAAGAATTTTTATTTTAGATAACCAATTATTAATTACTAAATGTTTAGTAGAATAGTTGTTTCTTACAATATCATCAGACATGAATCTTGTCTGAGATTAGATATATTTTGCATACTTAGATATTTATTATCGAAGAACAACAATTTTTTAAATTGATTTAATTAATTTTTTTAATTTTAATTGATTTACTATTTTTGGCTCTACTTTCAACTTCAACAAAATTTTGTACAAACTTTTCCAAACACCCTGTATATAAACTCCTTGATAATGTACTTTTTTAAAAACGCACTTGGTTATTATTTGAATATCATGACTAATGCATTAAAACTTATTTTGAATTTTTTTCCATTTACAGGTAGTTGGGGCTATATTCTCCTTATGCTTAGCCAACAGCATCAAGAATAGAGAAAGAAGATTTAGGTACTAAATATTTAAGAAAGTATTCAAATTGTTGGGAAGTTTGAAACTATTATTTTTGAGAAAAGCTTAACAAATGTATTTAATATTTTTTGTATACCGCAGTATTGTATTTTATATTAGAAGAGAATATGAGAGTTAGTTTTAGAGACCTGTAGGTCGATCTTTAAGAATGTTTTACTTCTAATAAAGTTAATAATAAAGATAAAGTCTTAGATTCGTTTTTATTCACTGAATAGAAATAAATACGGAAACTAGCTAAGGTATAAACTATTTAATCATTTAATCACAGGCAACGCAAAAATTTAAAAAAAGTGCAATGTGAACAGCATAGTAATAATAAAAACGAGCAATAATACAACGTAAAGTATTATGAAAGAAATTATTTTTAAATAGTGAAAGATAGATGCATCGTAAAACGAAATTAGCTTGTTCCAATGAACGGGAAACATCCTGTACAACGACGCTGCTTCACACCTTTTATGCCAACTTCCTATGGAAGAAAGTAGAGGAAACAGAACTGACGAACCAAGACGTTTTCAAATGCGAAGTAACGTTACCTAGCAACGCCAACTGCATACAAACCTGTTTAGAACGCTTTATGCGGTGTTGCCACGTTTACATCCTTAAAATCTGGCTATTATTCAGATGGCTGCATCTACTGCAAAAATTGATTTGTGGTGCCACATCTCAACTCATAACACGTTTGTTAATGTGATTAGAAATACATAAAAAAATTATTATAACTTATCAGCACTCAACTTCAGGGTACTCTTCAAATGCCTTAAACATGTTGGTATCTGACTATTTTTGAGTATTTTATAAGTATTAAATTTAAATAATTTATATTTTTTGATTTCCATTAGTAGAGCAAATGATAAATCATAACCACTGGCTTTAGAATATTTGGTTGAAAGCTTAAATTTAAGAAGATAAAGATAAAATATGCCTACAGGTTATTTGGAAATGATATCCTATAACATATTTTCGAAAACTCAAAATTAGAGGAGTTATATTTCGTCAAAGAATATTTTAAATAAATAATTGGTTCTAATAACTAATTTCTCCAAATTTTACATATTTATCACTAGTGTCCACTAGCGGTGAGGGAATAATTGAACCAAGATGCTATGATTTAAAGCCTATGGACTTTTTCTTTTGCGCCATCTATATATCTTTGAATGGGAAACATATTTTTCGTTTTTTAAAGAAAATAATGAAAACAAAACATATTTCCATATCCGACCGTTATGAAAAAGCTCTTTTGTATAATAAATAACAGGATTAGTCACTATAATCTGACAACTTATTGTGAGTTTATTATTAAAATTAGAAAAAGTTTTTAATACAAAAGTTTTAGCTTTTTTATGAATTTTTATAATACAGTATTAGAAAAAACAATTGAATAATGGAAATCGCTAGATTAAAATGGTCACACATGCACAATGTGATTATTATTGATGCACTTCGTATAATCCTCATTAATTTTCAGAAGTGCATTTAGTATAAAATGAGAATTAATCAACTTTATGTCTTAGTTCATCTAAGTTTACACTAGTTTCCTTATAAACTTCGTTTTTAAAGTAACCCCACAGAAAACTGTCCAAAGGTGTAAGGTCTGAGCTATTTGAAGGCCATTGAATATTTCCTCCATTACCAATCCATAAATCAAAACTATTCTTTAAATAATTTTGTACTGCTCTGGTTCCATGCGAAGGTCTTGGTGCCAAATTAAATTGGTATAGTCGATCAGCGCCAGGTCGTCCAATTTGTTTTCTATTTGATTATCAAACAAATGCAGGTATCTTTCCCCTGTCAAAGCACCTTTATAAAATAGTGGGCCAATGATTTTATTTCTCAATATACCGCACCAAACATTAAACGATGTGCATCCTTAACTTGGAGTTTCCTTATTACTGTGAATATTTTCAATTGTCCAGGTATGAGTATTTTTTCTATTATAAATGCCAGCTGTTGTAAGAGTCGCCTCATCAGTCTATAAAATCTTTTCAAAATAGTTTAGGTCGTCAGTTTTCAAGCGCAGCATTTCTCTGCAGTATTCTAATCGCTGAATAAATTCTTCGTTTCTGTCTTCCAAGAGATTTTGTTTCTCTAAAGCGTCGCTCAATGTCGTAAAATGCAACTCGAGATGGAATTGGAAACCCGAGAAGGCGGAAAATCATCTTAACAACTTAATTATGTTATTTTTATACACATTAAAATACAACAGCTGTCAAATACCACAATGACAGCACAATAATAATGGCCCCTTTCAAACAACACAATTTTTGTTTAATATCCAAGGCCTACTATTGCTATGTTAGCTTCTTTTAGTTCCTGTCGACTGCAGATTATTTTCATTGTTTTTGTTGATTGTTCTAAATCGGCTACTCCAATAAAGAAATGTGATATACTATTTTTTATTTAGAATTTCAAGGTTTATCAAATTATGCTAAAAAAATACGGTGTTGCCATTTAAAAAAATACCGTTTTAGTAGCTACTGCAGAAATCTGGCAACACAGGAAAGAATTATTTATAAATTTTTCTTAATCAAGTTATTTCCTACAACTTTGCTTTGGAAGTACTAGTCTATCACTTTAAATAAAAAAGTTGGCCTATGTCAGGTTTTAAAAAAATAGCACTATATTTTTGAAAAGAGAAAAATTTAAAGAAGCTAATTATGCATTAAGGGGGTCCATTAAAAAAAACTAATTTAGTGGTTTCCATTATTCAATTGTTTTTTTTAATACTGTATTATAAAAATTCATAAAAAAGCTAAAGCTTTTTTGTAATTTCAATAATAAACTCACAATAAGTTGTCAGATTATACCTAGTCACCAACGCTGTACAAACTAATCTAATCTAACTTTGGAATCTAGACGAGTTTGTCTATATAAAATTGGGTTAAATAAGGTTATGTTCTTATTTATTTAACATTTAAAAACGGACTTAACCTAACTTAGCTTAATTTTATGTGGAAGTTTATTTATTTAAAGTTAGACAACTTTTTTTTAATTTAAAGAGGTTAATCTCATATATGTTACATAATAACTTAACCTCTAACTGTGTAGAATTTATTCTGCTATATTGAATTATAAAAATAAGTTGAAAATAATAGTAAAATGAAAATAAATATTTCAATTTACTTATTCATCATTTATAATTGATATATTTGTAACATTATTTCAGAGGATGACAGATATACAGACCGCACAATATTGTAAATGGTGAGGATTTTGAAAAACAATTTTGCCAAAAACAAAAATAACTTCAATTCATGTTTAGCACCCTTGAAAACTTTATGCATATTTCTCAAAAAGCATTTTAACTTTCATCACAGATACAATTTTTCTAGGCTCTGGGGTTATAGACGACGATCCGGCAACACAGCGCGACGCGATGCGTTCCGCGACCGTTGTTATGGTACGGTCACTTGATCATTCGGTGTGATTCACTGCGCGTCGCGGACCTAACTCTGTTTGTTTTGAACGTGCCTGTCAGTTATTTTCGGGTATTTTTAAATATATGCGCCTTCATTAGCTTTACGAGTATCATTTTCTCGTAGTGCCACAAACTGACAAAATGGGTTGTTCTACCACCGTCGTGAAATACCTGGTGTTTTTCTTTAATTTGATTTTTGCGGTAAGTTCCAAACTGTTGCTCGATGTTCTTGTGTTTACACTTTAAATTCGAAGTTATTTTGAAAGCGATTGTTTCTATTTTATGCAACCAGATGTAATTTAATTACATAAACAAATATTAAATTCTGTATTAAAGATAAAAATAATTTCAAACGGCTTTATTTAGATTAATTTACAGCCAGCGAATATGTGTATTCACAGAAGAATGACTTAAAACTTTTGCTTGTTTTGCTTGTACATATGCTGGAAGTTTGTACAGGGTGTCAGTCTGAGCCCACTGCGGGGATACAAAAAATTTAAATAAAATTTGGGACACGTGGTGTTAAATGGGATGAGGTAAGCTCCATTTTCGATCTAAAGTATTATCTTAGGGGTTTGACAGAAACGACTAATGACGTCACTATTTTCTAATAAACTTTTATTAGAGAAATTTTTCTGTGTTATTTCCCATTTAAAAGTTATAAGCAATATCGTCCTAAAGAGTCTCAAGTAGTCGTTGGAAAATAATTGTATGTTCTTTCTTTAAAGTGCATAAATGTCAAAATACTTGTCATTACTCAATACGAACGTCAAGCGTATAACTTTTATGCTTACAAAATGTTTTCTCATTCAGAAAAAGTTGATACGTTGCTAATTTACGTCGAGTCACAAAAAAATTGAAGAAGAGCTGTAAAGTTATATCGAGAAAGGTGTACAGAGCGCCTCATTTCTGATCAAAGAACCTTTACAAGTTTGGAGGCGACCTTGCGAGGAAATGAAGATGCATTTTCTGTTCAGAAAAATCAAATAATTGAGTAAAGGGTAAGAAAGAATGTTAATACAGTTAGACTGTTACAGTATTTCGAACAAAATCCACGAAATTCTATACGGCAGGCCATCCGGAAATTGAATTTGGATAAATTAGCCGTTGAACGAATTTTAAAGACCAATGGGTATCATGACTACAAAATTTACAATTTGGAGTATTTGCCTGAGCGTCACACAAACAGACTTAATTTTATAGCTCAAATTGTAGTAAATGTAGAAACTCTTTATCAGAATTAGGCCAGTCATTATAGCTTTTTTCGGGAAAAAAATACTATTAGAAGTTCTTTTACGGAATATTGTTAAGACACGTGTTATAAACAAAATATCAAAAAATCAACTCGAGGCTAGTTGGGAAACTTTGTTAAAACAATCGTCAAAGTTATGGAAAAGTGGTTTTTTTGACACCCATAAAAAAACTATTATTCATAGAGAAAAAGGTTTATAACGAACGTTCAAATAAAAACGTGGTCGAAGTTGGCTCTGACACATTGGACGTAGGGAGTAGCTTATAGGGACCAACTTAACCTCATTTCTCAACGAGCTGTATAGCAGCGGTCAGTTTCAATAACGTTAATGACTATATAACTTTATTTTAAAGAATAATCGTGATAACAATAACAAACAATTAAAGGAGCTGAATAAATTAAAGCAGCTGCTGAAAGTGTCACCCTCCTTGTTCCAAGCACTTTTCACACCTGTTCCTCAAAGAATTAAAGACTTTCTAAGATGCTCGGGGTATTGTTAATTTCACGAATCTTGTCTATAAGTCGAGCCTGCAGATGGTTTAAATCAGGAATAGGCAGTTCAAAAATAGTGTTTTTAAGGTAAGGCCACAAAAAGAAATCACACGGCGTAATCACATGACCTCGGTGGAAATTCATGTTCAGCATTGAGACTTATTAGTCGATTTTGGAAAACTTCCCTCAACATATTCATCGTCTCGCCTGCCGTATGTGCCCTTGCGCCATCTTGTTGAAAGTAAAAGTTTGTAATTTCGTTTTCTTTCAGCTGGTTAACAAAAGGAGCGATAATTTCTTCTCTATACCTTTGCACAGTAAGAGTACCATTAAAAAAAGTAGGTCCATAAATCCTCCTTCGATTGAGAGCACACCAAACTCCAATTTTTTGAGCGTGTAGAGGGCCCTCGACAAAAAAGTTATCTGGTTTTTCAGAAGACCACATTCTCATATTCTGTGAGTTTACGTAACCACTTAAATGAAACCAGGCTTCATCAGAAAAAAAGGTGATATTATGAAGTTCACCGTAGTTGTTTAAATACCATTCACAAAATATAGCCCGTCGCGGAAAATCAACTTCATGAAGTTCTTGCTGACAAGTTAAACGATAGGAGAACAAACGCAAATCTTTTTTTAACACTGTGTGGCAGGTACCGACTAATACTCCCACCATTTGTGATAAAACACGTACAGAAGTTCTTGGCGCATTTTCCATTATTTGTTGGACATTTTCTTTTAATTCTTCAGTCCACTTTTTAGGTCGGCCGCTTCCTTCTTTTCTTGTTACACTGCTCGTTTCACGAAAAACATTAACACAACGCTGAACTGTACTTTGAAAAATTTTGTACTCAACAACGCCGGGAAATTGATTTTGAAATTCTATGAAACATTCCTCAATAGAATACTTCCATATTCCATCAATCTTGCGTCCATTTCTAAAGTAGGACTCTATGATAAACACTTTTTGTTCTTGAGAAAACACCATTTTAAACACTTTTTAAAACGAAAATATTCAAATTGATAGCGGCGATATAGCGCTTTGACAGATGACGTTTAAGTTCATTTGCTATACGCTACGCCCTACGTCCAAATTTTCAGAACCAACTTGACCACGTTTTTATTTGAACGCTCGTTACAAAAAAGGTAGGTATTAAATAAATCTGTAAAATAAGATAAGTCCGATAATTTGTTTATGCACAAGAGCTCAAAAATGGTCGAAAATGGCCGTTTTCTTCAATTGCTAATAATTAATGCAATTTTCATCGCAGACACTTATCATTCAGGATTTTTTAGGCTTTTTGCACCCTTAATAAGTGGTAAAATATTTCAGCCCGAAAGCTTCATTAGTTTGGCGTTGGCGGAATTTGTTATCTAAGAAGATCCTTTTTTCAATTGATATTTCCCAAGATCAAAGGCGTTGTAGAGTTTCGATCATTAGTTGTATTTGTACCTAAATAGTTGTATTGACATATGCATTTACTGAGAATTTAATTTTTCAAATTTAATTTGTTCAAATATGACTTGAAAAAATGTTAATTATTTATTAAATTGTTAAGATAGGTAATTATTATAAAACGAAATACTAAGTCTATAGTTTAGTTAGTACTATTTTTCTTCGAATTTAAAAAAAAATCGTTGTTCTAAGTTGATTAGAAGCTGAGACAATTTTTTTTTATTTAATCGCAGTGTCCTTATTCATTAAGAGCCGAAATTTGGAGAGAGTATACATTAAGAGCTATATTTTCATGTCCTACATTAACATTAAGGTGAATTCAACTATTTAATTGCAAAAAAGAAGACAGCGGCGATGCGTTCTATTACTCGATCTAGCGAACGAGTGGGAAGAGCGAGGCTAAATAAAAAATTAAATCTCGGGTTAAAATAATAATACCATAGCTTCAATGCTCATGAATTTTCGCGCTACAACTAATTAAAAATATAATCATCTCGATAGGTTCATTATTAACCGAGATATGGATAATTTTTCCAGCTCCATCGATTCCAGCCGCTCGATCATTTTCCTGTGCGCTACAAGGCGCGTAGCGCGCATGCTCCACCTCGCTCTCCCCACGCGTTCGCTAGACCGAGTAATAAAACGCATCACCGCTATATTCTTTTTTGCAATTAAATAGTTGAATTCACCTTAATGTTAATGTAGGGCATGCAAATATAGCTCTTAATGTATACTCTCGCCAAATTTCGGTTCTTAATATTAATAATTAACGTCACTGCAATTAAATAAAAAAAATTATCTCAGCTTCTAATCAACTTAGAACAACTATTCTTTTTTTTAAATTCGAAGAAAAATAGTACTAACTAAAGTATAAAGGTTACTATATGTCATTTTATAATAATTACCTATCTTAACAATTTAATAAATATTAACATTTTTTCAAAGTTATTTTTAATTTTTATATTTTAATGATCGAAACTCTACAACGCCTTTGAGCTTGGGAAAATGAATTGAAAATAGCATCTTCTTAGATAACAAATTCCGTCAACGCCAAACCATTGAAGCTTTCGGGTTAAAATTTTTACCTCTTATTATATAAACAAATTATCCGAATTTAATCGGACTTGTCTCATTTTATAGGCTTATTTAATACCAACCTTTTTTTCGCTATGAATAATAGTTTTTTACGCTAGTCAAAAAACCACTTTTCTATAACTTTGACCATTGGTTAAACAAAGTTTCCCAACTAGCCTCGAGTTGATTTTTTGATATTTTGTTTATAACACGTTTCCGAATAATATTCAGCAGAGAAACTTCTAATAGTATTTTTTTTCCCGAAACAGGCTGCTTCATGTCTATAATGACTGGACTAAATATTTTTTGGCACGTTCTTTTGAGAACGAAAGTCGGTTTATCAGTAATGGTTTGCAAACAGGCGCAACGAACACTACTGGTCCATTAAAAATCCCCACATTGTAAATCCAGACAAAACCAAAGACATTTTGGGGTAAATGTACGGCGCGGCATCATCGGTAGGCATTTAATTGAGCCTTATTTTTATGAACAACGTTAGTTACCTAAATTTCCTACAAGAACTTCCTACACTTCTGGAGAATGTGCCCTTGCAGCTAAGGAGAAACCTATGGTTTCAGCACGACGGGGCTCCACCCCACAAGGCCAGGATTGTGCAGCAATATTAAGATAACAATTTCCCAGAAAAATGGATTGGGCTGGAGGGACCTATTCAGTAGCCCGGAAACTCATCAGATCTAACACCCCTCTATGTTTTTTTGAGAGGATTTTAAAGAATAAGGTTTACAAAACACCTTACCGAGATATTAATCATTTGAAAGGAAAAATCACAAACGCTTGTAATGAAGGCGAAGCTAGACGAAGATTGGATATGTGTCTTGAAATGAGAGGAGGTCATATAAAGAATATACAGGGTGTCCCAGTGTCAGCGTACAAAAATTTACCAGAAGGTAAACCAGACCAAAATAAGAT